GAAGTGGCTCTGTCTAATGAAGAAACTTGGAAAAACCGTAACAAACCAAGGCCTATATAATAAGGACGTATTGCCTGAGAAACTAACTAAAGAGAATGGAAGCACTGAAAAAGGTAGTGCAACTGATGATGTATCTGCCATGGCATCTCTGGGCTTGAAGAATCCTCAGGATGTATGGAGCCTTGCAGAAAATTCAAGAGTTTTCCACAAGTCATTGAGATTATTTTTCTTGAAGAGAGGAAAGGTCAGTGTTGATTCATTGCTTTTTAAAAAGTTGATTGATCGTTTCATCTGACCAAGATATACTAGTTTATTTAACAATTTGACAGGAAATTGGAAATCTGACTTTTGATAAAGATGATCATTGGCTGTGGAATTTGTTACTGCTGCTGCGAATATTAGGGCCTCTTCTTCTGGGATCCATTTGCATAGTCTTTTTGAAGCAAAAGGAATTGCTGGTAATATTGTGCATGCTGTGGCAACAACATATGCTATCATAGTTGGGTTGATCGTGATTGAAGCAATTAAAGTTTTTAAAAAAGATAGCAACAATTACAGGTTTAGTTTCTTTATTCTCCATTTTTTAGTATTTTAGATATTTAAATACAAAGTAACTAATAACCATGTAGTTCAGTTTCTTCTCAAGTATCAAGCACTAGTTTTTATGTTCATTTTAGTTTGATGTAATCCATATCAGTCATTGTTATTGCTAGGATATAGGAATTATAGTTCTCTTCCCATGCTTCCTTTATGTTTATTTCAGTTTGATGTAATCTATAGCAATCATTGTAATTGCTAGGATTTATTGTTCTCTTCCCATGCTTCATAATGCAAATTGCTTTCTTTTTATGTGGTTCTAATCTGAGTTGGATACCTATGTAGGATGACTTATTGTTTGGAACATCCTTCAAGAAAGTTGCTTCTAATGCCCGTAGAAATGAACCTAACAAGTTTTGCTATGTTTGTTCGGAGGTATATCTAAAATGCATGTCCGAATGGAATTTCTTTTTATATGTTTCAACTCACACAACTCACACTTGCTCACGTTTAATACCTTGTAAACAGACACAGCTATTGCTTGAAGTTAAGACACGTCGCACTAAGTTGAGGGATGTTGTTGAAAAGATTGTTAAAGCCAAACTTGGCTTGAATTTCCCACTAATTATGCTAGGGGCAAGTATTCTTTATGAAGTTGGTGAAGATCTTGAAGAGGATATGGTGGCAATTTATGCTGCAAACCTTGGGAAAGTAAAATCTTCTCCCTTTTCTTGCTTTTAAAGAAAAACATCCTCTAATATGATATTTTCCCTTTTTGCATTAATTATTCTTGGATTCAAGTCTGGGAGCCACAGGAGTTATTCTTTTACACTTTAGCACATCAGATAATGTGATAATTGTGAATTTTTTCGCTTAACAGGCCTTATCTGAGCTGCCTTCTCCAGTTAAGTGGGACTATGCTTACTGTAGAAGAACTACAACAAGAGTTCAAATGCAGTATCAATATCAAGCATAGGTTGTGTCTAGTTTCTAACCGTCATGTAAATATTAAAAATCCTTTTTATTATTTCTGTAGAGGCTCTTTAAGAATATGATGAATGTTGGACTGGTTTCGTCAAATTAATTTATCATTTTTTCTTGTGGTCCTTTTTTGGTAACTTGTGCATAACTGTTACATCTTTGCTCCTGCCATTTGTGTCATACGGTCAAAACGTGAAAAATGTTTGGCACGTTCATTTAGCTAAACTGAAATGTGTTTCAGTCTAACTATTTGATTAGCTAGACGTCTAAGTATAAATTATTATGAGTTTTTGATATAGACTTCCTTTATTTTCCTAATTTTATTTTCTGTAGCTGCAGAATGGCTGGCTTGCGGCTGATGTTTGTATTCTCTCTTTGCATTAATTTTTTCCTGAGTTTGGGGCATTTATCCTCGAATATGAAGACCGATTTAAAAAATTTACTCATGCTCACAGCGAGGAATTTGATGAGGAGAAGGACCTGATGGAATGCTTCTCTCTGGATGGGTTGAAGCTCCTGCTGATAAGGACAGTAATAACCCTATTGGAAATGCTGAAAGTACATCCAATGTTGCCAACGAGGGATTCTGGAGGGTGAGAAGGATGTTGAAATCAGGAAACCTCTGAGCTGACTGAAAATGTTACTGGAAAAGAAAACCGTCTGAGGTTTCCCAAGCACCATTCCCGATCTTCTGATGAAAGCAGAAATCACAATCAAGTCGAAAAGCTTGATGTTGAAGATGAGGATCTTATAATATCTGATGATTGGGAATCTCTCACCATGAAGAAAAGGTGTAATAGGTTTTTTAAAATTCTAGTACTTTTCAAAGAAAATGACTCTATTTTTCCCTTCTCTTAATATATCAATTAAATTTAACAATTTCTTTCAAAAATGATAAGTATACAATTACACTCTTATAGTGAAGATTCGTTTTATTTTACTTCACTAGACATGAAGTATAGGTTTACAGATGGGTGGAGTAGGATAGAAACAGAAATTAATTCATTATAGGTTATAAAATAAATGCCAATATTCCTCTTAATCTCCATCAGCTCATATATATAAATACATTTAAAAATAATATAATATTGATAGTATTATGTTTATGTATGAATGATTTTTGAAAATTTTACATTATCTTGGATTAAAGATATTATGATATATTTGAGATGTTTCATTGTTTGTAATTCGGTTTATAAAGATTTTAATTTAATCTTTTAAAATTCATGTTAAAATTATATTTTAATTTACTAATTAAAGAGTTGTGATGGTTTACTATTTCTTTTAAATTGTAACAATTGGAATAGGCACAAATAGGAAGTTCAAAAAGCAGATATATCATATTTTCTTCATAAAAATAGTTTGTATTTATTAACTGATATCAATAATATATTTGCGAAGTAGATCGCAAGAAATTAAGAGATAGTCTCGAGACTCACATAAATACCCCATGATGTTTAATCTTATAGATCACGAAGTTAGAATAATTTTAAATTTTATACTTGTAATTGATCACAATATAAGAATAAAATGAATTTTTTTTAGCGAGAATGAGTGTAGGATGATCCCTCTACTGCATGACTCGTTCAATTAACATCTTTAATCTTACCCTAAATTTTAACATTAACTTCATTTATATTCAATTTAAAAATGTAAATATCAAATTTCATTTATTATATAAAATAAGAGCAAAATATATTAAAAATAAATAGTTAAGATTTATATAATGAATACAAATTAAATATAAATTGTTTATTAAATATAGTAATAATAAACTCAACGCACGGACTACTTTTGTTTTGCATACTTGTTTGGCTCTCACAACAATTCATTTGTGGTATATTTCAAATGTTCATAGTCCAACCTATTATGTATGCAAAAATGACCCATTCATCATCAGGTCCTTAACTTCAAATGGAGCTTGACAAAAACGACGCGTAATCACTCTAATCAACTCATTAGGTTGCTGGTAACCGACATTGGTTTTTATGTGCTGTCCTATCGGCATGGACGTCAAGATAGCTCTTCAAGTTGCGAATGGATGTGGCCAAGGATGAACATCACTTCTTCGCTTTGTTGCCAAGTCATTCAGAAATGAAAATACCAGCACATCTAAGGTTTCAGGATCTCCGTTTAATTATCAAGAGCTCCTGTTATTGTTGGTGAAGCTGTTGTCGTTGTTGAAACTCCTCTTGTAAACTTTTTAGTAGTTTCTTTTAGTTATGAGAACCTCTAAGTTTTGATTTTAAGCATGTTGCTCCTTTAGGTAGAAAGGTGTTGCTCAAAAGACATATGCACGATTCTTGTGTAGGACGAATTTATAAAATTTAAAAATGATAATAGATTATAATAGAAAATACAAAAATTTTAAATTATAAAAAATTATAAATTTTAGAGGTACAGCTGTCTGGCCAAATCCTTCCGTCTATCCGGATGCTACTCTGTTTAGAGTACTCTGTGTAGAGTAAATATTATAGTATAGGAGGGGGATGTACTGCAGCTGACGTGAGTATGATATTGGTTGTAAAGATCGTAATAATTACCCTGAGATTGTGACTATGTTGTAAAGATCGTAATAATTACCCTAAGATTAATTCTCATCTAAAATTCGACATATTGTACAAAAACTCAACTACTTCAAACAAAACTCACATATCCACAACGAATGGCCATCCATCAAGATGATTATGAAGAAGAGCCACCATTGATTGCTTGGTTGTTTTCATAGCGCACTGTTTACTCTTTTGTAAGCAGCTTTTGCTCCCTCAGAAAAAAAAAATGGAAGGATTCTATGAATGAAAAAGACAAAACCGAAATATCATGATCAGAGTTTTAAATAACGGTCTGTTATCGTAATAGCTTTTGCAAAATAATAATAGTGTTATCTTTCGATATACTTGCAGTAGCGCCCTCTATGGATGCAATCGCGGTAAACGCTACCGAGACCGCATTTTAATCCCTGAATAGAACGTTAATTGAGATATAACAAAAATTACATTTTAATGAGTGTTTTAGCTTCCAACATTTCAAATTCTTAGTTGACTAAGTCAATGCATATGTCCGATATGATATTTTTATATGTGTTCAATTATTAATGTAACATATGTTATGTTATAATTTTTTATAATGTGATACACATTACATTATCACTTTTGAGTGACATAAAATATGTTACGTTGACAATTGAATATATAAAAATATCACATCAACTAATTATTTATCTAATAAAGTATATTTTAACTAAAATTTAAAACATTAAAATTTAAATATTTTAAAATAAAGAACAAAATGATAATTTGTACAAATATTATCAATAATTTTTATCAATATATCCATTATTATTTTACTAATAAAACTATAGCGACTCCCACTTTGCCACGTTGCAATAGTCTTAAGAGTCTCCAAACAAGGCGTTAAAATTGTCCCATTTAAAGAATAAACCGTCGAGTATTGCAAACATCCTTCAAGCTGAGAGTAGAAGAAATACCAAAATCCTTGTCCCAGTTTCACCTTCTTCTTTTATTGCAATTTCCAAAAGAGCCATTCGTTGATTCTCTTTTCGGCCATTTAAGTTTACAATAAAATTGGTGAAGTCCTCACGTTCTGTGAAAGGCATGTGAAGTTCACTGACAAAACCCCCAAAAATCAGTGTCGGCGTTTCTTTACCTTTTCCCCCTCACTCTCCCTCGTGAATCGTTCCCTACTAATACTAACATTTCCCACTAAAAGGGAAGAACAAGAGCCAAAGCCATGAGACCTTCGTCTCTTCTCATTATTATCTTCTTTCTCTCCCTTTGGTTCAATCCAGTTACCTTAACTACTCCGACGCATTGTCGAAATCGATTCTCTTTTTCGAGGGGCAACGGTCGGGGTTTTTGCCGGAAAACCAACGTGTAGGATGGAGGGGTAATTCGGGACTGAGTGATGGGTGGATGTACAACACGGACTTGACCGGCGGATACTACGACGCCGGTGACAACGTTAAGTTCGGGTTTCCGATGGCGTTTACCACGACGATGCTGGCGTGGTGTGTGATCGAGTTCGGAGATTTAATGCCGTCGAATGAGCTGGGAAATGCGCTTGTGGCGATTCGTTGGGCCACTGATTATTTACTCAAAACCGTGTCTCAGCCTAACAGGATTTTCGTCCAGGTATTAACTGCTACTAAATTTATTGTCTACTTTTCTTTCCTTTTTCACTGCTATTTCATTACTAGTGAGTAGTGACGGTGGTTGCCTCCCAGATGGACAGGGTGTAAGGCGTTGGGATGGGATTGTATTCTTAAAATTACAAAATTGATATTTTTTTTATAATTTTTTAATGATGTAATTTTTGTATTTGTTTAAATTTCTGATTTAATTTAGTAAATTTATACCCTAATATAAATTATACATTCTACCCTTATTATTGGAAATTTAAATAACAGTTTACTATTAAAACAATGACTTTTATATAATCATAAAGATAAAAATATCGTTTGAAATTGTCATTACACACAAACATCCATAATGACCGCCGTTATCATAATCGTGATAAACGTAATAAAAAATATGACAACAACGTTAATTTAAATCCTTATTTGCTGTCCGCTTTGATTTCCGTGGGAGAGGGGAACTTGGACCTTTTTGGCGTTTTCGGTTGAACTAATGCAAGCCAAATTTCCCACTTGGTAACTAAAATTAAAGAAATTAGAGCTTCTTGTTTATTATTTGATGCTTTGGGGTGATCATGTAAAGCTGGAATAGGAAAAAAGACAAAAGTTAAAGTGGGAGAGCAGATAATGTCTTTTTCTTTAATCAATATTTTATTGCTTTTCAAGACATTGAATTGCATGGGTCAAGCTGTTGGTCCCCATCTATGTTCCGTTTGTATGGATAATGATTATGTAATGTCTCTTGCAATTGGTTCATTTTCAAACAAGGTTAATTTTATGTAACTGTGTATAGGTTGGGGATCCAAACATAGACCATAGCTGTTGGGAAAGACCGGAGGATATGGACACCGCCAGGACCGTTTACGCCGTGGATGCACCGAACCCTGCTTCGGATGTGGCTGGTGAGACGGCGGCCGCTCTTGCGGCTTCATCCATGGCGTTTAGATCAGTAGACCCGGGATATGCGGATACGTTGTTACGGAATGCTGTTCAGGCTTTCCATTTTGCCGACAATTTCAGAGGTGCTTATAGTGACAATTCTAACATTAGGGATGGCGCCTGCCCTTTTTACTGTGACTTTAGCGGATATCAAGTAAGTTAAAAACAAATGATTTATATATATATATATAATCTAGAGTATTTATAAAGTAATATTTATTTAAAATAATTATTTATTAATAATACATACATGACCTATATAATTATTTAAACTTGTATTTTTTTAAATAATTATTTTTTATTATTTAGATCATTCAATAAATTTATAAATAAATATATTTAAATAGGTTTGATGGGTTTCATTATTAATTGGGTCAGGATGAATTGCTGTGGGGAGCAGCATGGTTAAGAAAGGCTTCCCAAGACAACTCATACCTTAGTTACTTGGAAAACAATGGCAAAACCCTGGGTGCTGGTGACAATATTAATGAATTCGGTTGGGACAACAAGCATGCTGGACTAAACGTTCTAGTCTCCAAGGTGATGTCTCGTTACATTTCTTTCCCTTTTCCTCATTATACTTGGGGTGGATCGAGAAGAGTGTTGGAGTACGATCATATCTTTAAAAAATTTAAATCCTCATATTGTCTAAATTTTCTATATATTTTTTGTTGATGAAATTCAGCATTCCCTAATTCTTTGATAAAATATTTTAAGTTTGTATTCCTGATATAAAATCATGTATTTGTCCCTGATTGCATTGAATTAGTTGTTGTTTTGGCATTCACTTTGGGTTTCCCTGTTTTCAGGAAGTGCTAGAGGGAAACATGTACACTCTTGAGTCATATAAAGCCTCAGCCGATAGCTTCATGTGCACATTAATCCCTGATTCGTCTTCATCCCATATCGAGTACACCCCTGGTGGCCTCATCTACAAGCCGGGAGGCAGCAACTTACAACACGCAACCACAATCTCATTCATCCTCCTCGTTTATGCTAAATACCTGGATCGGACCTCCCAAACCGTCAACTGTGGGAATGAATTTGTCTCTCCGGTTACGCTTCGCATGCAGGCAAAGAAGCAGGTTGATTACATTTTAGGTGAAAATCCAATGGGATTATCGTACATGGTAGGTTATAGCAACTATTTCCCGCAACGGATTCATCACCGTAGCTCATCGTTACCGTCGGTAAAAGATCACCCTGAGTTCATTGGCTGCAAGGAAGGTTCTAGTTATTTTAACTCGACGGATCCTAACCCGAATGTTTTGGTTGGGGCTATAGGGAGGGCCTGGAGAAGATGATGTTTATGGAGATGATAGAGGTGATTTTAGGCAATCAGAGCCGACTACTTACATCAATGCACCATTTGTTGGTGTGCTGGCTTATTTTGCAGCCAATCCCAATCCTAGTTAACCACCAAATCCGACTAGATTTTGTACCATATTCCATCATTTTTTAAAGAAAAAAAGATAGAAAATGGTGTCTCCCATCTTGAGTGAGGCAAAAGAGGGAAGAGGCTAAATTGGTTCATGATCTTTGTGTTAAATATTGAATCACATCTCCTTGTGATTCTTTTAGAAAGATAGAGGGTAAATCCAATGCTTAAAGAATTTTAAATTATTATTTTATAAAAGGTTTTTTATATATTAATTTTAAAGTGTATAACTCAATGCACTCAACAATCGTTTCATTTTATCTAGTTTATATTGAATTCATGCTTGTAAGTATGTTTTAATTTGTATACGGTAGATTGATAATATTATTGTATGATGCTTAAGGTAAATGATATATTTGCATGAATAAATAATTCAAGTGATAAAAGAATTGTTGTTATTTTTTGAGGTCATCAAGAATATTAAAAAGTATAAACATTTGATATTATATTGTCATTGTGCTTGCCTAAATGGATATATAAAGTTTTCAAAGAATTTAAAATATAAAAAATATAATTATATTTTTAACTGAAAATATGTTCGATAATAGCAGTAGATTCAATTGTACAAAAAAAAATAGCAGTAGATTTAAGGGTCACGAGACACTAGAAAAGATTTTTCAATAAAAGTGTTTTTTTGTAATAATTTGTAAATATTTTTGAATTTTTATTTTCTAATAATTTATCATTTTTATAGCTTGTTTTGCTTTTTTGTTTTTGTATTTTTGTGAAATCTTCAATAGTGTTTTGAGTGTTTTTAAAAAAAAATATTTTAATTTTAAATTTTTATATTTACTTTTTTTAATATTTTAATATTTTTTTATATTTAAAGTATTCTAAAACTTTCAATAATTTCTTATTATTTATTTTTTTCTCTTAAAAAGTAAAGAAGTCCTAGAATTTTCTAAAAAGAATTAACTAAACCATCATCTTTCTAAAAGATTCGGTTAAGCCCCTCTACCACTTCATCATCCACATTAAACTATCATATCAATATTGTAAATCATCATGTCAACATCTAAGTCTGTCAAATTAACACCCAAACTCGTTACACCAACATCATAATGATCAATGATGATTTAAGTTGGTCAAATGATCATATTAAATTTTCTCTCTCATTTTAATGGGGACATTGACTATAAAATAAATTTAGAAATCACATTACTTTTTCTAAAAGTATAAAAATCTTTTATTCTTAACATTGAGTTAAAAATAAAATTAAGTCGTTTTTACGAAGATGATATAATATATACCACTGTATAGTATGCTTGCATACCTCACAAATTTGTTTATTTTATCATGTACTTTTATAGATTTTGCTTTGTTAATTATGAGAGTTATGTATTTTTTTATATCCATCACATAGGTGATTAGGAGATCCGGTTGCGTAGATGTAGATGTAGATCAACCTAATCGATTGACGCCTCGCTATACAATTCTAGGATTAATTATTATTATTAAAACAAACCAATAATCTTCCTTTCCCCCCCCCCCCAATTTCCTAGCAGTTGGGACATTGATTTTATGTGTCACCTACCAATACCATAATCACATCGAAATTAATTATCCCATCATCAACCCCTTATATTTTTTCTGTCCAATACTCACCTGCCATATTAAATAATTTCACAATCACATCGCAAACAAGCATCCGTAGATCCGTATTTTCCTCGCCATTATCTCTCTTTTTGGTGGTTTGCACTAATGGGGGTGGGCTCATGTCCATTACATGTGATTGTGAGCTCGAAATACCTGTGACCATCTAACCTAATCTTCTCTTCTCAATTATAATGTGATATGTTGGCAATGGTAGCCCACCTGGTTTACAAAATGCTTTTGCCTGTTTTCATTTATCTTCATTTTTTAGTTTTCTAATATAATCATCTATACTTTATTGGTGGATTAATTTAAATCAGATTTTATATAGAATGAGTTGGACTGAAAGAATTGTTTTTATAATTATTGATTTGGATTAGATTATCAATAATAATTATGAAAATATAGGAAAAAGTGGAGGCATCCTGATCCTTATATTGGTAAATACTACAGTAGTGTGTTCAATGTTGTTGGTATTATAAGGGACTTTAGTTTCAATCAATGGGGTATGGAAATATTTTTGTCTCTTTTTGCTGATTCGATGTCTTATCTCAAAGAGACCCTCGTATTGGAGAAGGGGAGAGTTAATGGACTGGAGATTGAATGTTTATGTCATCTCAGTACTTGTTGTGTGGAAGGAATTTGTATATGTTCAGGATAATGTTCTTTTGAACTTTCTTGTGAAACATTTGAGAGGGATATAGCTCAATTTTGAAAACGGGATTATTTCTTTCCGATAACCTATTAACTCTTAGTTAGGGTTTTGATTCTTCTCAGATAAACTATACCTTGATTATTACTAGTGAACTTTCATTGACTGTGAGAAACAAGTTTCAGAGAGCTAAGCAAGGTGAAGAGAAATGCTACCAAACTAATGTTATGTCACTTTGCCTCTCTTTGCTTAGTTGCATCCACTTGGTCAATGGTCACCAATAGTTGGTTATTACTAGTAAAGTCTTGCTCTTGCTATGACACATGATCGATCGGTTGTGATTTCCTTATAATGTGCGCACTTTTTGGTTTTCAACCTATTATTCTGTTTGAAGCTAACATCTTTCTCCGTTTGTAGTTCCCTGGGCTCCTGGTGGTTCCAAGTTTACTCGAAACCCAGTCCCGCCATCTGGGGTAATTGTTCAACTCCCTTCTAAACTAACCATATGCTATTTCTTTCATTTCACATGTTTCCTTATTTGCGATTCTTTTTGTACTCTATGCCTTTTCCCCCCTGAAATATTCATCAGTAAGTTATCTCTTTCTTGCTTTTCGAGTAGACATGCACTCTATCTTTATATGTTTCTTTCAATATATGTTTCATAGTATTTATACAATTTGAGATTTGCTCCTCTCACATTTCATGTTACTTTTTTTCAGCCCATTTGCCTTGTACGGTTATCCAATTTTCATAATGATTATCAAACCATCATGCTGCAGATTAGAAGAAGTAATTAGAGAATTCTGTTAGTTTGTCTTGTCTTGTTTCTTTATAGTAGATAGCTTCTTTCTTCCTACTTTTTTACCCCTTTAATTATCTTATTTTACTATATTGTCCCACAATGGGCTTTTTCATCATGTTCCGTATCTACCTGACCTAGATGCTGTCAAGAAGATATTTGTAAATTTGTGATTTAGTTTTATTTGATTTCTTTAGTTTTATCCTGTTCTGATATTCCTTTCTTGTCGCAGATTGAGATTGTGTACGATTATGGTAAAGAAGACAATGACTAAACGAGATCTTTTCTATTCCAAGAAATAAAGGTTAGCAATGTATTTTATCATTTGGATATACATCGTTTTCATATTGAAAATGTATTAGCAGGTTATAACCTGAACTTATTTTCAGTGTTTTTGAGATGTATTCCCCTGATATCATTTACTTTATTTTTGGAAATGATGAGTTTGTTCTTTCTTCACCTAATCAAAATGATATTTGATGCCTAAATTTGAATGATATTTGCACTAAGGTTCTAATCATCTGCCTGAGCATCTTCTGATAAGAAAAATACCATGTCGAATCACGTAGTACTAGGCAGCAGTAAAATGTCTCTCTATGCAGCTTTAGCGATATCATTATTTTTGTGATGCTGAACTTGTTTTTGGTTTCGTTCGCATTCATTGAAGTGAAACGAGTTGAAGCTTGAATAACACTCATGTTGATGCTCCTTGACTTAATTGTTGTCTGGTTTATCATATAAGATCATTGCTTAGATTGAAGGAACCAAATGGTTGTTGACATTGCACAAAAATGCTATGATCATGAAGCCTTTTTGTGACAAACAAATTTTGCCTTAATCTTATATATATACATATTTTTATCTTTTTTCTGTATGACTACTTAGGGCACTTGTCAAACGTGCCGTTGGATACGTTGAAATGAAAGGGTGCACTTTATATGAGCTTTAGGGCAGACTATTATCTAATTAAGATGTGGAACCTAATCAAACTTAAACCTCACATACACATTCTGATACACATTCTGTAGATGCAGTTACTCGAATTCGGATCTTCTAGGGAAAAAAATACTCTTTAACCATTGAGGTCACTCAGTGGTTTCAAAAATATTATGTTTGTATCTAGGGATTTAGATATGAAGATATTCAAATTTGCTTTGATTTACGTAGGACGGATGTAAGATTTTATATTAGGATGCGAACTTAGGAATTATATTGAAAATTTAGGGAGTAAAATGTGAAATTAAATTAATAATAATAATAATATGTAAACTACATGAGAATTTGAAATTTTGAGATGTATGATCGTACTCTATCAGTCCATCCATATTTGGACTCAATAATATCATATATCTTAATCATTCGTTTTATATAGATGGAAATAGCCTTGGATCTTTTAATGTTATGTTTGTTTGTTTAATATATTTTTTAGAAGAATTGGTTTAATAAAATTGGATATTATTTTAAAATTAACCAGTGTACAATAAATGGAATCAAACAAATGCCTAAAACATGTAAAGTCTCATCCCATCCCATTGAAGATAAAAGAGGCAAATACACAAACATTTCATTCCCTCGAAAACTCCTCCATACGAGAAAGTAACGTGATTTCAAAGTTTAGAATTTCATAAAACGTGGCTCATCATCACAATTGACATCTTTGATCTCATAAATCTTGTGGTTTCATCATCTCCATGCAAATTTCATGATCTATCCACCAACGGTGATTCCTGGATTTCTAAGACAAAATCTCCCATTACAAAGCTTTATGTCATTGTAAAATTCAATATGCCTGCTCTTTGTTTTCTCTTGGGAAGATAATCAGCCATGGAGGATGATAAATTTAGGCCGAGGATGAAGAAGATGAAACGCAGGTATGGTATCGTTACACCTGCATTGTTTCGTATAACAGGCTCCGTGGTCACGATGGTATTGCTGTTATTGACCATTTGCTGCGGATTCCGATTGATGATGGAACCTTGGCGGTACCACGCCGTCGGAGCTCGGGCATTTCATGTTGGTGTCACAACCATAATATTTGGTTTCCTGTTTCTGATCGTAGGGCTTTCCATCCTGGCAGACATGCTTTTGAACATATCAGAACAGTTGCCGGACATATCCGGTATGCATCAAGGTAATAACAAAAGGGTGACTCTTCGTTTTAATGCGTTTCTTTTCTTTATTGCATGATGATGAATTTGAGAATGAATCACAAGTAATTTGCTGGAATTTTCTTGATCAGAAACCAGAATGTGAATATGTTTTAGTTGCAAATGCTTGCTCATTGCGTCTCCAATGAAACAGGGCAGCAGGAGACAAGGACAATGTCCAAAGCTATAGGCCAGGTCCTGGTAACCGTACTAACAATGTTCGTGATCTTGTGGGCGACATACACCGGATTTAGGCTCGCAACCGAATCGGGGAAGAGCAAGCAATATCTCTTGACGGTTTCAATCGGAGTCACCACCATTTTATTCGGCTTAATCTATTTCATCATTGGACTTTCCATTGTTCAGGAGCTTGTACTAGAATTTTTGACCCGTTCACAATAGGAAAAAAGAAAGAGACAGAACAATGAAACAGCACTGGCTTTCATCACGGTTTGTAAATTTGTAATGCCAGATGTTTTTTCGAGTTTAGTTCCATGAAAATTCTTTAGTTTTGCAGCAAGCATTGTTCCCATTGTAAAGGAGAATTGAGCCACTGAAACCCTAAGCTTTTGATGTCTCATGCAGATACTTGTTCCCTTCATACAGGTAAAAGGGTGGAAGATAAACAAAGAAATGACTGAAAATTGTTATTTATCGTCTCATGCTCTTTGTCCAGTAAAACAAAAAAACATATGGATCCAAGTAGATTTGATGTGTGTACCAACATTCAGAAATGATATTCTTTTTAAAAAAAATCTGGGTATAGGTCAGATATTTGAATGTTAAAGGTCATTCTTTGTATATTAATTCTGTCTGATGCACGTGTATGAGAATGTTGTTGAAACGTGGCTGCATAGCTGCTGGGATCACACTGAACTGTAATTCTTTATTTTTCTAAACAATGAATTCTTTTGCTTCCACCCAAACACTTTATTTTTCTCTTGTTTTGCCTCAGTTTTTGGCACATGTTAGTTTGCTAAAGTCAACAATTGGCACCAGAGCTGCTATCTTAGGAGCATAGGATTTAAATAGTGGTCTATTATCAGAATAGCGGCCGTTATATAGAGGAAGCGGTGTCGTTCAAAAAATGTTATTGTATGACCGCAATAACATCCGTTATGTCCGTAATTGTTATAATCGCAACGCAACCGAAAACGCGACATCAACCGCCATTTAGATCCCTAGGGGTATGAGTTATTTCTGCGTTGTTGACAAAGTCAGTTTTCTGGTTAACTGTTGTACTCATGTCATCAAGCAGTTTTTCTCCATCCCACCCCCTATTTTTGATGTGATCTTCACAAGGATCATGGCTTGTGAGACTCCTGAGGAAGCTTGGGACAAGCTGAAAGAAGAATTCCAAGGTTCAGTGAAGACTAGAAAGCAGTAACTCATCAATTTAAGGAGGGATTTCAAGAATTTGAAGATGAAAGAAAAGTTGGGAAAATAGACCCCTTGTAATCCAACAATCCCTTTAGATCATAACATTAACAAAAATACTTGAAAAATAAAAGAGAGAAAAACATAATAATTTAATGTGGAAAACTCCCAAATGGAGAAAAACCACAGGCGTTGTAAAAAGACAATCAAGAGAAAAAAAATATTTACTATGTGGAAAATTATTACAACCACACTACAAAATATTTAACTTTCACACATACCCAAGAGCTAAAGTACACCCCAAGAGAATTTCCCTTTAAATTCTCTACTAGTATAACTAATAGTTTTATTGTACACCACTTGTATTTTGGTGATTGACATACATTTAACCAAAGGGAAATGTTCTATTTATAGGCTAAGAATTTTTCCATCATTTGTTAATTTTCAATGTGGGATTTGGCCAATTTTTGCCAAAAACTAACAAATCTCCACCTTGGCAAAAATTTCATACAATTCTTCACCATAAAAACAACAGCTACCTCAATAACACCATTAGCTATGATAGTCACAATTCTAAAAACAAGAATTGTCATACTCCACCATAAGAGTATACACACTTGGAATTCACTAACTACAAGAATTTTTACCTCGACCAGTTCATGTCGAAAAACTGCTAATAAGTTATGGTGCAACTTCCAATGTTGACTTTCTAGGAAGTTCATTAGCCATCGACATCAATTCCACCACACACCTTGCATCAACTGTCAACCAATGCCCATGTGTAAATGTGGACATGCTACCTTTTCATACATCCTTTTCCATGGCAACTCAATTGGTAGCTATCATGCCATGAGGATATATATATTTCTTTACAAAGCAAATTCATCGTCTTCATTTTCAAAGACGACTACATTAGTAGCATCACTTTTGGAGCCATTAGCCGAATTAGCTCCACCGTTTTTGCAATCCTTCTTTAGATGTCCAGGTTGCCCACATCCCCAGCAGATAATTTTCCTTTTGGAGCCTTTATACTTCTTCCTATTTCCACAAACCGACAATGCTCCACTTTCAGAAGATTTGTTCTCTCCATTTTTTAACCTTCTTTCTTTCGAAAGCAGCTTACTTGTCACTTCTGAAAAATTCACATTCTCTTTCCCGTACATTAAAATGGTTTGCATGTGCTCATAGGAAGATGGAAGAGACCAAATATGTAACACCCCCAACCCGTATACCAACCCGGATACGAGTCAGAGATATTACATTGACTTTTAAAACACCACACATTACAAATAATAGTAAAATACTTGAACTTATATTACGAAAATACAATAATATACATATGGTATTATAAGTTTACTAAAATATTCAGAGCATACACAACTTAACTTTTTAATTACATGCCAACATCCATTTCTTAACAAAATGACCTACTGATTAAGTTGCTTCTGATCTGATGGTTGCAGGAGTAATGCTGTCAAGCTGCTTAACCTGTCTCGTCTACTTTCTCGGATCCTACGTGTGAAACACTCACACGCTAAGTCATCGACTTAGTGAAGCAATGTAATAATAATAACAAGGCAATGTAATGAAAATGTCATAATGATATGAAATGAGATGAAAGCTTATACTTAATCAAGGTAGTTTACATCACCATTATCCTTACCTGTAAACATATTACTTTAACATTCATGAATTTCTATTAATGAGTTTATTGGCCCATGATATCATATTGAGAACCTAAGGTATCTGAGTATTGTGAGGTTGTGCACTATGTTATCAC